TCTTCTTCTTCTTCTTCTTCTTCTTCTTCTTCTTCTTCTTCTTCTTCTTCTTCTTCTTCTTCTTCTTCTTCTTCTTCTTCTTCTTCTTCTTCTTCTTCTTCTTCTTCTTCTTCTTCTTCTTCTTCTTCTTCTTCTTCTTCTTCTTCTTCTTCTTCTTCTTCTTCTTCTTCTTCTTCTTCTTCTTCTTCTTCTTCTTCTTCTTCTTCTTCTTCTTCTTCTTCTTCTTCTTCTTCTTCTTCTTCTTCTTCTTCTTCTTCTTCTTCTTCTTCTTCTTCTTCTTCTTCTTCTTCTTCTTCTTCTTCTTCTTCTTCTTCTTCTTCTTCTTCTTCTTCTTCTTCTTCTTCTTCTTCTTCTTCTTCTTCTTCTTCTTCTTCTTCTTCTTCTTCTTCTTCTTCTTCTTCTTCTTCTTCTTCTTCTTCTTCTTCTTCTTCTTCTTCTTCTTCTTCTTCTTCTTCTTCTTCTTCTTCTTCTTCTTCTTCTTCTTCTTCTTCTTCTTCTTCTTCTTCTTCTTCTTCTTCTTCTTCTTCTTCTTCTTCTTCTTCTTCTTCTTCTTCTTCTTCTTCTTCTTCTTCTTCTTCTTCTTCTTCTTCTTCTTCTTCTTCTTCTTCTTCTTCTTCTTCTTCTTCTTCTTCTTCTTCTTCTTCTTCTTCTTCTTCTTCTTCTTCTTCTTCTTTTCTTCTTCTTCTTCTTCTTCTTCTTCTTCTTCTTCTTTTCTTCTTCTTCTTCTTTTCTTCTTCTTTTCTTCTTCTTTCTTCTTCTTCTTCTTTTCTTTTCTTCTTTTCTTCTTCTTCCTTCCTTTCCTCATTCATTCGTTTATTCATCACCCTCTTCTTCTTTTTCTCCTTCTCCTTTCTCCTTTTTTCTCCTTTTTACCACTTTCTCTTCTTCATTGCCATTCTTTTCTTCTTTCACTTTCACCTCCTCCTCCTCCTCCCCCTCTTCTTCTTCTTCTTCAGCTTTTCCCTTCTTCGTCGTTTTCTACTTTCTCCTCCTCCTCCTCCTCCACCTCCTGCTCTTCCATCCGTTCCATCGCTTCTTCTGAAGGATAGATCTGAGAACCATAAATCAGTTTCTCTTCTTCTTCTTCTTCCTCCTCCTCCTCCTCCTCATTTAACCTTAATTTCACCTTCTTCTTTCTCCACCTCCTTCTACTCCTCCTCTTCCTTCTTCTCCGTCTCTTTTTCTTCTTGAGGAGGGATTCGTGAGCCATAAATCTTAACCTAAATTAAATGGGAAAGTAGACTACAAAATTTAATACGATTATTTTTATTTTTCTCTTTATAAGGTTTTCGAAATCTTAAAGCAACTTTTAATTCACCGTCTGACATCCACACCCGGCCGCCTTCCTAGTCGTCTGCTGTAAACCTCGTAGTTCAATGAATCTCAGGAGGATCTAACCACCACAGTTTTAAAATTCTAACTGTACAATCTTTATTCGTTTAATGAGTGTCAAAAACACGTTCAGCTGTTGATCAAAGTCAGCCTTCTTTCCTCGAAATGAATTTCTGAATATTTTGTACGTCTAAGATCGCTTTTCAAATTTAGATTCTTTCCATGGCCGAGATCGAAACGGAAGGCAAATACTTTAAGTATTTACAAATCACTTACTTAATTTATTTTCTTTCATTTGATGTGTAAATTGGCTTACTGTAAAATCCTCATCATCTCTAGTTAGATTTCGCGTTTATACATATTTATGTCGTCATTCGTTTGATTAAATTTCAATTATTTTACGGCAGCTGTCTTTTTTTTCGGTTTCCCCACCCGAAGTTTCTAACAAATGTATAAACTCTTTTTTATTTTAAGAAAAAAATCTAAATCCCAAACCACTAACTTATGCCTTCTAACTTGTCAAGAATATACCACTAATCTCCCAGAGACGTGCTCTGTCATACTGATAATCTAGCAATAACCAGAACCAGTACTTAACTTATAAAATCAAGACTTCAAGGACACACACAAAGCTACAACTATATATATTTTAGTATCATTTAAAAGTTTTCAGTTCAGATGGACATTTATCTAATAACCAAACATTTAAGATGAAGACATGAGCCGTGTTTTCAAACGACGGGTGTCATTGGAATTGGGAAACAATTGCTACGATAAACAAGCACAAATTGGCTATAATCTAACATTGGCTAACATGCCAGCAACTTTGAAAAAGCGATCGTCTAGCTCAACATCTCCGGTGAGAGTACTCAACTGGAGTCCCTCGATCGATTCCAATATGTCCGTTTGTTCTTGCGAGGGTTTAATCAGAAGTACGTCGCGACATACAGCGGGAGAGACGAAGCCGGCTTTGAAACGTATGGGATGTGTGTCGGACTTTGCATGCAGGAATGAAATTCAAACCAAGAAATCTGTATTGGCCAAGGCTAAGAAAAAATCCACAATCAGAAGGTAGGCAAGCCATTTTTTTCTTATCCCCTTTGCTTCCAGACTCCTTCCAGATTAACACGATATGAACTGACGGTGTCTTTTATTCAGATATTCTTGTGCAAGTAACATTATTGTCCATGCATACCGATTATAAAAAAAGACATTTATTTCAGCGTTTCATTGAGAAAAGTGGAGAACACAAAGAAATGGGGCAAAATTCGAATTTCTGTTTTACATAAATCATTCATATTTCAAGTAAGCTGTTTATTTACAAATTCTTGACATTGTTTTGTTTTGGTTTTTTTTTTGTTTTTTTTAAGTTTGTATTATATTTCTTTTCTATTTATATATATTTTACGTAATCACTCATTTTCCACATGTAATATTTTGGAATTAAGAAAAATATAAAAATATTGTTACATATTTCAACGTAATTCTTTTTCCCTCTAACAACGAACTTTATAGTCATTACGACTAAAAAATGTTTAAGTGTCCTATCAGACGATCCTAAAAATGACTTAAGTACTGGCTTATCAATGTCATGATCTTTTTGTTTGTATCTGCCACCGTTATGATTTTGTACCAAAAGATCTGAATTGCATCATATATATATATATATATATATATTTATATATATATATATATATATATATATATATATATATATATATATATTTCGTGCGTAATAGTATATAACAAAAGGAATGGAGAATGTCAAAAGTGACAATGGGGGAAAGACGGTATAAAAAGAAGACTTGGAGGTAAAAATCAGTTAAAGATAACAGGAAGAACATCAAGCACATAGATAGATAGATAGATAGATAGATAGATAGATAGATAGATAGATATGAACAGACTGACTTAGATAGATAGATAGATAGATAGATAGATAGATAGATAGATAGATAGATAAACTGACATACATAGTTAGATAGATAGATAGATAGATAGATAGATAGATAGATAGATAGATAGATATGGACAGAATGACATAGATAGATAGATAGATAGATAGATAGATAGATAGATAGATAGATAGATAGGAATCAACTGTGCATGGTTAATTTAACGCTAGCCCTCAACGCTATAATTCTAAAGTCTCCGCCTAAAACTCTAAAATTTATGCCATTTATTTACTATATTATTTTATTTTTCCTCATTAGGAGTAGATATGTTCGTCTATCGCCCAATTCACGCTCCTCCACTGTTTTTTTTAACAGGCGTAGTGGTTTATCCTTTGTTTCCTGCTTCGAATTGTTTTCCGTCCCTTCTAAATTCTACTTTAACTTTATAGTTCTAAAGCCTCAGCTTAAACTCTGAAATTTTATATACTGTGTATTTCCGGTTTTTTTTGGTGGGTGTGGAGGGGGTACCTCTATAGGAGTAGATAGTTCCCCCTATCACCCGGTTTATACACCTCCGAGGTCTTTTGAACGAGAGTAGTGTTTTATCCTTTGTTTCCTGTTTAGGTTTGGGTTTTCGGTTCTTCTTAAGAGTCATTTCCTTCTCTTTCACTTCCAGTAGTCCCTTGCGTATTCATGGCGTTATTGCCTTACTTGGGGTGAATTGATTAAAAACAAAATGAGTTTCAATGCTATTGTCAGGCCACAAACTTGATTTATAGATAAAGACAATGTAATTATAGGAATCAATAAATCTTGGTTTGAATCTTTCATCTAAGCGAGAATTTTTATTGTGTTTTTGTATTGTTTTTTTTTCTTTTCTGGACATAAATTACGTACAAATTGCCCGAATGTTCCATGTGTCCGAGCGCATTTGGCTATACTTTTAGCCATTATCAACAATGATTTTATTTTTACTTTTAACTGGATATTTTTTATGTATGTACCAAACCAAATTCATAGATAATTATATTGGATATACTACAACATACCTAACGAGAAGACTCACGTTATATCTCTCTGACTATAGCTCTATTTAGCGACATACCAAATTCCATCCGCAAAGTACACGTTGATAATACAAATACAATAGCGTCATCCACATGTAAAAAAAAAAGACTAAAAATAATGGAAGTATTAAAAAAGAAAAAACCAACCCTCAATAATATCAACAATGAACCCGACCACAATGTGCTGACCATGTTTGGAAAATATTTTTTTATGGCTAAGCATTATAAAAAACTCCAGATCATACGGTAGATTTTTCAAATAGTATAGACACAGGTTCCAACCCACCCAGAGAACACGTTTTCTTTATTGTGTGTGTTATCTGACGATCGATTGCTCTACGTTAAACTCGACGCAACGATTTTGAGCTTGTCTCTGTAGTGTTCGCCTGGTTAATGTTAATATTCTGTCTTAGTCTACTTGCTGGAGACATTGAGCACTTTCAGTTATTGCCTAGATTGTCTTTTCCAGGCTGTCTTTTTATGTTTACATTCACGTCTTTTGTCGTTTGTTTTTCTATCTTTGTTCTTTTTCTTTTGTTGTTTCATGTTTTTTTTTCGTTTGTCAAACTTCGTGCCGGTAATGTTTTATGTGGAAACTTTACTAATAATACTGTAAGGATTGAATAACAAGGAGACTTATGAAGCACCGCTCGTGCCCTTCACTGAAGATCCGATGTGATATGACCAGGCCTCGAATGCCTGCACTTGCTGTTAAAGCGCGCTGAAAGCACCGGTTCTCGTACGATCACCGAAGTTAAGCAACGTCAATCTGGTCAGAACCTTGATTGGTGACCGTTTGAGAATACCAAGTGTTGTAAGCTTGTATGTGCGGGTGGGGTAATGGATAAAGACACGGAATTGTTAATCGTAGAGCAGAGTTGTCATTCCAGTTGGATTAATTGTATTCACTTACACGCAAATACCCTTGAGAAAAGAATTAATCTCCTGCCAGCTATGGATGTATTAGTAAGGCTTGTATCTCTGAACCATTATCACCTCCCTTCCCATTCATTAACGCTACTGGCATATATATATATATATATATATATATATATATATATATATATATGTGTGTGTGTGTGTGTGTGTGTGTGTGTGTGTGTGTGTGTGTGTGTGTGTGTGTATATATATATATATATATATATATATATATATATATATATATATATATATATATATATATATATATAAGTGAACATTGAAGTCAACACTCATGAAACAGGCTGTTTCATGATGTCCAGCATGAAACAGCCTGTTGATTTCAATGTTCAATGTTTATATTTATTTTTTTACATACGCTCTAACTCTGATATTGAGCACTTTATCCCATAAATATAGCACACCTTAAAACTATATTTATTCATATATATATATAAAAGCTTATATATATATATATATATATATATATATATATATATATATATATATATAAAGTTACAGCTGCCAGACACAACACTTCAGCACATGTGCTGTTCCAAACAGCACTGAATTATGTCAGGTATCCCCTAGGCGTCTTGCGGGGCAGAGAGAATCTTGGCGATAACCCCTAGTGCGCCAACCGCCAAAGGCACAACTTGAACTGCTATTTGATACATTTGTCCGATTTGTCCTGTCAGTTCTTGGTGCCTCTGTATTTCCGCTTGCTACATTACGATGTTCTGATCCCACGAAACTGCAACGTCAATCAGGATCCATGCATCGCTGCTTTTGCGCGCAATGTCTGTAGTCAGGACGATGTCAGTAAAGATGATCGTATCGCACATTAACTTCACTTGCTAATTCTCGGTTATTGTGCTTGTGCTACTTCTCCGCGCACCAAACATCGTACATCCTGCGTAGACCCTAGTGCAATCCTAGGGCTACTCCGTCATGGTATCGCCTCTAATCTAATTGCATTAGCCGAGTGCAGCTCTTGAAAATGTTATATTGTTATATCAAAATAATTGTTTCTAGATATAGTCGAGAGAATGTCATCATTTTTCTATTTAAATTTTCTGATTAATTTTAATATTTAATTTAGTGAGTGAATACGCTCAATGTGAGTTCCACGACTATGAAATGGAAATGCCTGTTACATCGTTAAATATTAAACCTTAACAGCTATAACAAAATATTTCGATAACAAACATTCATATGCATTAAGATGATTATTTAAATATGTTAGATCGTAAAATGAAAAAAACTTTAAAATGTCTTTTATGATAATACTAAGTCTGTTGGCTTTTATTTCGCTGTCAGTTTGAATTGGCATGTCCCACAGGATATTTACATCGTTATTTTGTATAACTGTTTCTGGTGGTCTCCATTTTGTGCTTCTTGCATATCTTCCAGTACACATATGTCGCTACCTTGTTATATCTGTGGGTATATACATTTTTTTTTTTTTTTTACTAATTCTGGACATCCTAAAATAATATTGTCGACAGTTTCATTATATTTTTCCGCAGATCGTGCATTTCGGTTTAGTTCCATTCTTGATTATGTGACAGTTATAGGATCTGGTTGTGAGGCTTTGGTCCTAAGCTGCAATGAGGCCTTCTGTTTCAGCTTTCAACCCGGTGCTCCTCAGCTACTGATGTATTTTCTGTTCCTTTCGTTCTTTTAGGTATTTGCCATTCACGGCCTTGTCTTCCGAGTTTCTTTTTTACTTTTCTTTTTTTTTTTGTAATTTCATTTGGCCAAATTGTTTTACTTTCTTTTTTATCTGTTTCATGATTATTATTATTATTATTATTATTATTATTATTATTATTATTATTATTATTATCAATAATATTATTGTGCTACGGTCAATGTAAGTAAAATATTGAAGACGCCTTTCAGTATCGATTTATATTTAAATGTATTCGAATTTAATCTTTTAATTAAAAATAAATTAACTCAATTTCTTCGGACTTATAAACGTAAAATAAAAAGAATTAAAGTTTTTAGTACAAATTAAAAGTTAAGGCAAATAATCGATGTGAATTTATTAATTAAACGTATGCACTAGTTAAAATTATTTGGGGGTTTAATTATTTAAATATGATGTCCTATTTATTTTATTTAATTAAACTTTGGTCTACTATGTCCTTAATTCGACATAATCAATCTTCTTAAACGCTCTACATTGTTTGTGTATATTTTTGGTGCAAACTATAAAAATCTCCCTTCTTAATGGTTTCTTCATATAAAGTCGAGTCATATTGGATTCTAGTAACAACTAACTATGAAATATATCGAGACCATGGCAATGTTAGAAACCGATTTTAGAGGCCGGCTACTTCCCGGGGGATCAATTTACTATGAATGTCTATTGTTTACAGAGCAGACCCCTAAACTTCTGAAGTACCCAACAGAAATAGACCATTCGTCGACTTTACGTTTTTTATGCACATGAATTAACCTGATTCAGGGTTATTTTGCGAATAAATCCTTTATTTAAAACCCTACGTTCGCTTACCTTTTCTCCATATAGTATATGGTATAGTATAGTGTGTTTACCTTTCCGAACGAGACTTGAAAAAAGAGCCATTTTTTAGGTTTTCTTCGTATAAAATTGAACCTTAAAGTGTACCCGGGAAACCTAGTCACGCAATATATCGAATAGGCGAGCTTCTGTATAAATCGAGGTTTTAAATATACCGAATATCCTCTGTCTAAACGCCTCTAAACTCTACAGTGTAATTTACCTTGCCCTTTATTTGAATTAAAATTTAATTAAACCTTAATTCTAATTCTCATAAAAAGAGAACGTGACGTTAAACTTTTTATAAAGAATTGTCTTTTAATGGTTTTATTCGATTCAATATTTAAATTTTTAATTAATTTTTATTTATTTATTTTTAAATTGTAACTACATATTTGAATTTATTTATTTAATTTAATTCATAATTGCTTCGTTTAAAAATATGGTCGATTAATATTTAAATTTATTGGTATTTAATTTACTAGGGAGTGTCATCTTTCCTTTCTTCTGTTTCAGAATAAAGAGTGACAGTACAATAATAAGTTTGACCTTGCGTTTTGAAACTATATGTTCCTCTAGCAGGTGTGACATTTATCATTGACCCAAAGGACAAAAATAAAGATACACTGTTTTAATTGCAAATATTTTCCCTGAATCTGACTAAACTATGTTATTGATTAACTAATATATATGCACATGCAATGTTTACGACTAAATGGAAACTGTATTAGCAATTCCTGCATTACATTATTAAAACATTTAAATGTATGAAATGAGTGTATAAAATGAATTTTAAAATGAATGTTTCTTCATTGAATATATATCGAAAATGGATATTTAGAAGGGTAAGCTCTTCTTGTAAATATTTTTAGATAAGTAAATCTATCTTTCAGACTCCTTCTCTCCCCCACCTAGTGTTTAAGAACTTCTTTTCAAAAGGATTTTCACATGAGTAATTAAAATTGCAAAGAAGCATACGTAAGTAATTTATTTCTTACGTCAATTGTGCCGGCGAATAAACGTTCATAACTTAATCTAAAAATCAAGCTGATAATTTAATCTAAAAGTCAATGTTATAAAAAAACCCGTGGAATTTCCATGGGTACCGCTAGTTGTTATTATTATTATTATTATTATTATTATTATTATTATTATTATTATTATTATTATTGTTGTTGTTGTTATTTTTCTCTAGTTTTCATAATAAGCGAAGCAAAGGGGTGTAGAAAGCGAAAATACAGTAAACAAGTTGCTTTATACTGAATAACCTTTGTCGTGTTAAATTTATGAGTAATTTTTATAGTTTTATATTTTTATCTAATTCTAGGTTTTGTCAGATGAATTCGGAGATTCAACCCGGATATCAGAAAGTCACGCTTTTTTTTTCTTTTTTTAAAAAAAAAAAAGTTGTCATAACAAAAATGAAATAAAGTCTCTTACTCACAAATCAATTTACGCAATTTTCACAGAACAGATTACAGCCTGTTGTCAATGATTCCCTTTCAAATTGTTCTTGCCAAAAGCTAAAAACAGAAAGAAAACGAAGAATTAATTATTAAATCAATGATATTCAATTCAAAATTTAGACAAATGTTATATTCAACGAAGAACAAATGCTCTTGATTTGATAGTTAATATCTAATGATTGTGGACCTTTGTCATAATGAGAGAAATCTAAGTGACGTCTGATAATTAACCCGAGGATCAGATTATATTTATCTTGTTATAACAAATTCAAGGATCGCGTATTCCTTGAAAGATTATCTAGTCTTCCTTTAAAGATTTGACGACACGCACGCAGACACGCACACACATACATGCCCCCCCTCCACCACTCGACAGTATCAAAATCTCTCGCTATATCACACACGTTTTACTGTGACGCATGTCCCTAGTATACCGTTATCATAAAAGCTATCTTGAAACGCATATTGGGCTTTATATATTTGTACAATCTGTTGTTACTTCCATGGCTTACACCCACCATCGCTGATCCTTAAGACTGGGACTCGCCATTCCGCCTACCCAAGGGTAACTGAAATATTCCCTTCATATTCCTATAATTAGAAATAAGTTCCGCTTGGACAGTTTCTTCCCAAGATTCCGACAGGATGTTTCCGCAAACACAACAATCTTGACCTCTTTAAGTCTAAGGTTAACTGTTACGTTTCTTGCCTTTTCTGACTTTCATACATCACTAAACAATAACTCTCTACCTTGAGTGGCTCTTTTGCCTTATATTGGGTAAACATTAGTATAAAAGTTTGTGCAAGATTTTGTGCAATGCTAGACTACATCACAACAAGAGAAGAGCTGTTATCAGAAAAGTTAAACTTCAATTCCTATTCTATTTTATTTAGAGAACAGACTA